TACATACTATTATTACTTTCGTATTATCACTATTGTATCATTATTATTATTATTGTTATTATTATTTTTGTTATTATTATTTTCCTGTCTTATTAAACTGTCTTTATCTCAACTCACAGGCTTCACTTTCCATTTCTCTCCCCCGTCCCAGAGAGGGAGGGGGGAGGGTGAGCGAACGGCTGCGTGGTGTTTAACTGCCGGCCGGGTTAAACCACGACAAACTGTTATTTAACTTGTCAGAAGTTAAAAAAGAAAGTGTTTCTACAAGCAGCCACGGGACGGAAGAATCACTGAACCCTCGATGTGAGGGACTGTACCTTGTTTTACTGACTACTGAAACAGCTGTGAGAACCGCAGAAAGGCAGAAAGGGACCCATGCATCCAGAATAAAAGGACCAGTAACTACTGAAATTTGGAGGGTTGAGTCTGCTCCTGGGAAACTGAAACTCAAGCTAAGGAAGAACAAATATTCTGGCAACGAGGCTCTGCATGAATTAAGGATGCCAAATAAAGGGGACAAGCTTGAAGGGAGGAAAGGAAGAAGGCAAGACCGGGGCAGGACCCTCCACTGCGGTGTGTATGGTCTACCGAGGGAGGCAACCCCTATGGGTATTGACTGCCGAGTGAGAGGGCCTCAACTGGACTTCTCCCCCACTAAGGTCAGGTTGTCCTGAGAAAATAACATAAGAACCTTTTTTTAACCTATATAAAATTGTGATTCGTTTTCCAGGAGCTGGATCACCCTGACAGGCCGAACGGTAACACAAGCCTGAATCGACCCCGAAGGCGTTTGCTTATTATGATCCAGATACGTGGGCAGAAGACAGATCCTGGGCCTATAGGGCCCCAGTATACATACTTAATAGAATAATTAGGTTATTAGCTGTAATAGAAATAGTTATAAATGATGAGAACTGCTTTGTATCAAAATTGCCTAGCTTTGGATTATTTACTAGCACAAGAAGGAGAAGTCTGTGGAAAAGTTAGCTTTAGTAATTGCTGTTTAAAGATTGATAAAAAGGGTGTTTCTTCCTAGTAGCTGATAGAATGTTATGTTCTGGTTTAGGATGAGAAGAATGTTAATAATATGCTCATATTTTAATTGTTTTGAATTGTTACAGAGCAGTGCTTTCATGAAGACAAGGACCAAGCCAAATTCAGCTTCTCACTGTCCTGCTAGCAGGCAGGCTGGGAGGAGGGCCGGACTGCTCAGGGTTAGGTTGGGCATCGGACAGCAGGTGGTGAGCAATTGCATTGTGCATCACTTGTTTCGTACACATTATTACTAGTAGTAATATTATCATCATTATTGTTATTATTATTATTGTTATTATCTTCTTGTTTTTATCTCAACTCATAGGCTTCACTTTCCCATTTCTCTCTCCCATCCCAGAGAAGGAGGGGGGGGAGGTGAGCGAGCAAACACAAACCTGGAGGGATATGGAATGGGATTTATTTTCAATAATAATTGAATCCTGAGCCATTTATAATTGAATCCTGAGCCATTTCTAACACTGGGAACATGGAAGTCAGGCAAAAAGTGATGGTCACCCTGCAGCAGCCCTTCATCTCCCTCAGTTCAGGACAAGGGATGCCCGCCCTGGCTCCTCAACCACTGCTCCTCTGCAAGGTGCCCCTGCTCCTCCACCCGTCAGCAAGGGTCGCCCAGTGCAAGCTTGCTGCCTGCTGCCCCCACTCCTGGCCACACAAGGACAGCGCTGGGGAGCACCCAAGCAGTGCCCAGCACGGACCAGGCCTTGCAGGGAAGTGCTGGCACTGCCGCTGCTCCAGTGACGATATCCTGGTGATGCAGTGCACCTCCTGTGACATCAGCCCATGTCATTTCAAGGCCTGTGAAGTAAGCAGCAAGGACATGGCACAGCTCGAGAGAGATGAGAGATTTCCCTTCTTGTCCTGAGAAACAGCCATTTCCCTTCTGTCCAGTTCTTTTTGGGATCAGGAACAGATCAGGGACATCTCCAAATGGTGGCAAAGCCCATGGAATAAAGGAAGTGGAGCCCTGGAGATACCACTACGGTATCTCCAGATACCACCTAGGTTGGCCCATCTGACACCTGTGCACAGAAGCTCTCTCCAAGAACCCACAGAAACCATGGGGAATGTTTGAACCCAGCAGTGTCCCTTTCCTGTGGTTGTCAGAGTGAATAAAGTCCCCCACAGTGACATGGAGTCATTGAACTCAACTTACTCCAATGGTTTCCATAAGACTTTGCCCACTTCTTCAGCCTGGCTGCAGACATGTACCTCCTGCCATGCTGTCACCCTGACTGGCTTTTGTCCCTAAACCGTAAGGGCTCCCCCAGTCTGCTGCCCAGTCCATAGAAGAGATCCATGCATCCAGACAGATTCTTCATGTGGAGGGCAACCTCTTGTTGATCATCCTCGCTTGTCTCTTCTGAAGAATCTGCACCCATTCAGCACGACCACACTTTTAACCTGACTGTCTCTCCTCTGACCTTCATCCACAAGGGCTTCCATAGCCTGCTGCCATTTCCATGGACAGGACAAAGGAAGGTGAATCTTATACAGGTTTTATTAATTTTGTTTTTATTTTAGGAGAGGTGATTCTGCTGTCAAGAAGTGTGTCTGCCCAGGGGAGGGAGGGAAGCCCAGGGATCCCTTCAGGCTGTTTCCCAGCAGGTTCCCCTGCAGCCCCAGGGCCATGTGCAGGGAGCCTGGTGGGGGGCAGAGCAAGGGAGGCCTTGGGCTGGGCCGGGCTCCTGGGCCCAAGGGGAGCTCCTGGCAAGCGGGCAGCGCTGCAGAGAGACAGCTCTGCCCAGGAGCAGCTCCTCTGCACAGCGCAGCAGGGCTGGGGGCACTGCCTGCAGAGACACAGTGCTTAAAGGCAGGCACAAGTGGCAGCATGCCCAGAGCTCACCGGGGAAGACTTCCCAGCCCTGCAGCCGGTAAGTCTCTGGCTGGAGGGCAATGCAGCCGCAGTTCGTGGAGGCAGGAGAAGCCGAGGGTGCAGGCAGGGGTGTCCAGGGCTGTGGTGCAGAGCAGGGTCCCTGCTGTGCCCCAGGGGCTGTGTGGCGGGGCAGGGCCTCTGCTGCCTGCCAGGCTCAGCACTCAGCCTGCCCGGGGAGCTGCCCAGGGCGCTGCGGGGAGAAGCTGCGGGTGGAAGAAGCCCCCTTGGCAGGGCAGGGTCCTGCTGCTGGTGGGAGGCTGCTCCCTTCGGCATGCTGCTTACAGATCCAAAGCACATGAAGGAGACTTCCAAGAGGGTGTTACTAAGAATACAGGCAAGGGATGACAGCTTTTAGATGAGGACCTTGGAAAGTCGGTCGTTTTTGTTTCCTCCGAAGGGAAAATGAACTGGCACTGTCAGGTGTAAATACAGCACTAAGATCCGCATCAGGAGAAATCAGCACATCTGCCAGGTACCTCATAATGGTCTACTACGCACTGCGCTGCCTAAAGACCTCACAAGCATCACCTTTGCTGGACACATCTGGGTTTGTCTGACCTGCTCTTGTGCACCTGCAAGCAGGGAGATGCTTTTGGTCACTCCCCTGCTGCCAGGGGGTGTCTGCAGGGCAAAGCTGTGTGAGCAGGGGCTGGGCTGGGGTCTGTGAGTGATGACAAGAAGGAGATGTGGGAAGCAGCTACTGGAAGGGACAGCTGCGGGTAGCAGAGACACTGGCAGAGAAGGAGAGGGATGTTGTAACAGAAATGCTTTGGTGGGTGAACTTTGGCTGCTCCCTGTCTGTCCCTCCCATGCAGATGCTGTCCTCTGAGCAAGCCCCCTCATTCTCCTCTCCCCCCAAGCAGAGCCTCTGTGACTTTGCTGTCTGGGGGTAGCGTGAACAGCTGCAGAGGGAGAAGGCTTTCTTGAGTGTCTGGCTGTCTCCTCTCAGCAGGAGGAAGACGGTACATTTCCTTCTTTCTGCTTTTGTGTGCACTGCTCTTGTTCTCGCTGTGGCACGCTCTGGCAGTAACAGTGCTGATGGGGGATGTTAAGCTCCTGTTCTGGCACTGCCCCTGTCCCGGAGGCGTTTTCCTTGGACACAGGTGCCCAAGTCCCCTTTGAACATTTCAAGTTCTGTGCAATGCAGTCCTTTCATTTTGGGCAATGAGGTCACTCTCCTGAGGAGATGTCAGCTTGAGGTTAGTGCTATGAAGATATCCCTGGAAAGCTGCTACAAACCCGAAGAAGGGCACAGCTTCTTTGTGCCCTTTTGCATTTCTCAGAGCCTTTATTTCAGCCACATGAATCAGGAGCCTCGTCCTGTCCCTCTCCTCCTTCTCCCCATAGCTGGGCAGGGAAGGAGAGGAGTTGTGCATTCACACTCAGCACAGTCCGGGCTCTTTTTCAGAGCAACCTGTGGGGGCAGTCACCCTCCAGCTGAGCATTTTGCCTCCAAGCACTGGCTTGTGTTGACACTGAGAACAACAGAAAAAGGTTTTTACTGTTTCCCAGAAGTTACAGGGGAATCTAAATCCTAAAAAGGTACAGAAGCAGACAATTCTGTTGCACCTTGTCTTGCGGAGAGCAGAGTGTGAAGTTTTACTTTCATCTAAGGGTACTTCCAAGTATTTAAAATTCCATTACCCATACAGTACCTGGATAAAGGGTGTAATAAAGAGAAACTGATGTGAAGACAGAGTGTACCTTATCAAAACAAAGAGGTATGCAGATGAGTGGGCCAATTGTGCCTTTGTGAGTTTGTTTCTGATTCTGATATCACCTGTGAAGAAGGGTAAAGAGGATGTGATGAATCCGTCTTTCTTCCCTTACACAGGCTGATGGCCAATATGCCATCATCTCTCATGGTGGTAAATAGGGAAAACCCTCAGTGGACGTAATGCCACTCATGCAATGCAGGGACCCAACCACTGAAAATATCTCCTTTCACATAGAGGAGATTATCAGAAAGCTCCATGAGTCCAGTGTGAGCAGGAATGTGTCCTCTGAAGTCTGTCTTAATATCTCCTTGTCTTTTCTTCCTTGGGTAATCCCGTTTATTCAGGAGGATGAGATGTCCAACAGCAGCTCCATCACTGTGTTCCTCCTCCTGCCATTTGCAGACACACGAGAGCTGCAGCTCCTGCACTTCGCGTTCTTCCTGGGCATCTACCTGGCTGCCCTCCTGGGCAACGGCCTCGTCCTTACAGCCATAGCCTGTGACCACCGCCTCCACACCCCCATGTACTTCTTCCTCCTCAACCTCGCCCTCCTTGACCTGGGCTGCATCTCCACCACTGTCCCCAAATCCATGGCCAATTCCATCTGGGACACCAGGGCCATCTCCCACGCAGGATGTGCTGCACAGGTCTTTTTATTCTTCTTTTTCTTTTCAGCAGAGTATTTTCTTCTCACCATCATGGCCTATGACCGCTACGTTGCCATCTGCAAGCCCCTGCACTACGGGAGCCTCCTGGGCAGCAGAGCTTATGCCCAGATGGCAGCAGCTGCCTGGGGCAGTGGGGTTCTCAATGCTCTGCTACACACTGCCAGTACATTTTCACTAACCCTCTGCAGAGGAAATACTCTGGACCAGTTCTTCTGTGAAATCCCCCAGATCCTCAAGCTCTCTTGCTCTGACTCCTACCTAAGGGAAATTGGGCTTCTCACATTTAGTGTTTTTGTGTTTTGGGGGTGTTTTGTATTCATCGTACTGTCCTATGTGCAGATCTTCAGGGCTGTGCTGAGGATGCCCTCTAAGCAGGGGCAGCACAAAGCCTTTTCCACGTGCCTCCCTCACCTGGCTGTGGTCTCCCTCTTTCTCAGCACTGCCTTTTTTGCCTACCTGAAGCCCCCCTCGCTCTCCTCTCCATCCATGGATCTGGTGGTGGCAGTTCTTTACTCAGTGGTTCCTCCAGCAGTGAACCCCCTCATCTACAGCATGAGAAACCAGGAGCTCAAGGATGCACTGCGCAAAGTCATGAGTGGGTGTACATCAGAAGTAATGCACTGCCTGTCTTCTGCAAAGCACTCATAATATAACTCATGATATGCCAAGCTTGTCGTTTGTTCTTTGGTGGGTTTTGTTTGTTATTAATGAGGGCAACAATGTTTTCCATATAAATTGTCATTATTGATCCTACTCATGTGTTTAAACAAAATAAAGGAACCTGCAGTGAAGAGTGTATCTGAGATTCTTTTTCTGAGAACTTTGCTGGGGGTTCCATGGTAATGCCCATGGGTGGAAATGAAGAGGAATATAGAGACCCACCATAGCAGCACTACCAGGAAGCAGAAGGGTTTTTTCTTTCCAGAGCTACTTTCATCCCATTTCCACACTCTCCTTCTGAGCCTTTTCTGTTGGCATAAGCCTGATTGTTCCTGCAGCTTGGTCACAGTACTGCTGTGTGGCAATCCTGTGACCAATCCCATGGACAGGCAACGGGCATTTCTGTGACACAGCTGGCCTCCAGAACAGCATTTCCATCCCATAAAGTGATTCAGCTCAGGGTAGTGCCTGGGGGCTCAGGTGTTCCTTCACAGTTGTTGTCAAGAACATTGCAGTCCAGAAATGGATTCTAAAGGGGGACCTGGCTTTGCCTGTTTCTCCATGGGCTCTGGGTGAAGTGATCAGAGCCCCAGCTGGGTGTTTGAGGGCATGGGGACTCACTCAGGTGTTGCTTGTTGGTGTTCAGCACTCAGGCAGATGGTGAGGAGTCTCCAATTAACCTGCCTGGGGCACTACAACATGTGCTGGGGCTGGTGGCAGGTGAGCAATTTTTGGAAGGAATCAGGAGCTGCCAGGAGAGCCTAGGGGAGCTGCAGGGAAAGCATGCCCCAGGGGATCATCAGAGAATGGAGCCCACAGAGCATGAGCCTGTGCCAAGTGGAGTCCCTGCAACATAAAATGCTAAATTGGGGTGTGAGCAGGCAAAGGAGAGTCCTGCAACCCAGGGGACACAGAGGGGACAGGGAAAGAAGTCTGGTGAGTGGTTTTACCCCTACTGAAATGCTATAGCGTGGATATAGTGCAGCACCCAAACACTTCTCATGGCACCGGAAAGAAGGCAGGCTACCTCTGAGCACCCTCAACAGCCACAGAAGAGCTGGTGTGGGAGGCAGTCAGTGGAAGAGCCCTATGAGCTGTCTCTGCCTCCCAGCCTGCCCAGCACAGCCCTGCAGAGTGCCCCTGTGTCCTGGACACCACAGCCCCCTTGCTCTGCAAAGCAGTACTACCTACTGGGGCTGTAGGGAGCATGGGGAGAGGGTGAAGGAATGGCTGGCCAGGCCAGCACAGGCATGCTCCTTCCTGGGAAAGGCTCTCTGTTGATGTGGGAAGTCCTGGGAGGAGAGTGGGGCCCCGTGTGTGTGCAGGGGATCCCTGGAAAGAGAAACCCCTGGGTACTTCTGCAGCTTGGAGCAGGCTGCCAGGGCTCGGCAGCAGCAGGAGCTGCCTGAGGAGCTCCAGGACCAGGGCTCTCAGCCCAGCTCAGAGAGGTGGTTTGTTCCTCCGCAGTGGGACACAGAACAGCTCACTCAGAAGTCCAGATGTGCCTGGTACAGTTAAGGCTTCAGCATGCACATCGTGTACATGTGCTGAGGTGAACCTGAGGCTGCACAAATGCCCTCAGCCAGTGTCCATTCCTCATGCTGTGGAGGGTTGGGAGAATGAAGGCTGGTCAGCCTCACCTCAGTCCCTGCAAAGGTGATGGGGCAAGCTTTTCCACAGCCACCTCCAGGCACTTGAAGGAAAAAAAATAGGATTGCTGAACCTATAGGGGAGGGGAAGGAAAGGGAAGCAAAGGCAAGAGAAGGTGCCTACCTGTCTTTAGCAAGGCCTTTGGCTTTGTCTCAAAGAATTCTTATAGCCAGAATGGTGCTATGTGTATTTAACAAATTGCTGAGGCTGTGGGTGTGCCTGTTTGCTGGACAATCAGGCCCAGATATCATCCATGACACATAGTGCTGTCAGTCAGTTCTTAGCATCATCCCTCAGCGATCAGCACTTGGAGCAGCACTGCTGAATGTCGTTATTGACTCTCTGAATTACCGGATGGAGCACACTTTCAGATCTTTTCTGGATGGTGTCAAGCTCAGAGGAGCCCTTGATCAATCTTATCTATTCAGTCTACCTTGATCAGAAGAAGATAAAGATCCTTTAAAGATCCTTGATCTTGAAGAAGATAAAAATCAGAAGTCTCTTGGAACATTTATTTGTTTATTGTGATTCAATGACCTGTCCTTCAGAGAGCTCTCTGAAGCCATAGCAGGCAGAGGAAGAGGAAAAGGGAGAGAGGTATAGGCAGAGATACATCTTGTGTTCCTATGACCACAGTAGATCCTGCAAAGAATGATTTCGTATTTGAAGTAGTAGTAGAAAATTTACTTTATAAACTAAGGGTAGAAAATTTACTTGATAATTTACTTTTTTTTTATCTCCCCAGGCCCTGGCACACAATGACGGTGCCGGGTGAATAAGTTGAGGTCTGTGGTGCCTCAGAAACTTAACAACGAGTAGGAAGCCTCTGGTCAGCTCAATCTCTGGAGCTGACAGGCCAGCAGCAGTAACATGGCTGGGGACAAGGCCTATGAGGTGACTGCTTCCTGAAGCAGCTGCTGTGTCAGCCCTTGCCTCCTGGCTGACATCTGTTTTTCAGCTCACACCCGCCAGCATCCCTGATCAGGCAGCAGAAGGCACCTGCTTGGCACACTGGTTGTGAGATGCCCTCTGTCTGAGAGCCTGATAGGCCCCATGCAGGAAGAGGCCTTGGGTGTGGGTTTTCACATCCCTTCTGCCTGAGCACATGGTGGGACAGGAACGGGCACAAAACTTAGTTATGTCTACCTGAGAAACTGGAAGGCCAGCAGGAGGCATGTGTCTTGGAAGATCCTGGTGAGGATTCTCTGGTGGTGGGAAATAGCAGGAGAGAGTCAGAAGTGGGACAAAGTGCTGCTTGGAAGGTGAAGAGTGGGCATGGGGAGGAGGAAATGTCACTGAAGGGGTAGTGCTGTGGGACCTGACATCACCCAGAAGGAGTCTGTGGTCAGCCCATGCCAGTGTGTTTCAAAGGACAGCCAAGGAGGGTGGGCAGATATCAGTGAAAGTAAGAAAATGCCAGGGTGAGAGCAAGGGGGAGAATTGAAGTGTGTGCCTAGAGTCTGCAGGGAGAATAGGGTGAGAATTGGACAGTGCAGGACAGCCTGTGGTGGAGAACACTGACTGCACTGGCAAGGCTGCAAGGCCCCAGCACAACCAAGGGCTTTGTCCCCTTGGCTATGGCAGTTGTCTCTGCTACTGAGGCTCATGAGAACACATGCTGTGCTCATGACACGGGGGCCTTGATGCCTCCTTGCAACCCAGTGGGGAGGCCAACAGGTGTCATAGCATTGTCCTTCTCACAACATCACACACCCCACATCCCACTGCCCCAGGAAGAGCCCTGAGCCATGGGTGAGGGACAGGACCTCCCTGCCCAGGGGCTGGGGACCAGGGCTTGGCCTTTCTGCTTCACCAAACAAACCAAGGCCTTTACTCAGCATCAGAGTCTCCTGCCCAGTGCCTTTGCCTACCTGCAATCATAGCCTCCAATTGTCTGCTCTAACAAGTCTATGGGGAGGCTTTGTCAGTAATGACCCTCACTGGGGCCATTAATGCTCCTAGACTCTTCAAAGTTTCCTTCTGACTTTTACTTCTCCTGCAGTTACATCATTCTCTTCTCACTACCTGAAGTTTATGGACTCAGCATCAAGTGCACCATGGGGCTCATTACCATTCAGCCATTTTCATCCGGTCTTCCAGACTTATACAGTTAATTAGTGAAGTTTCAATCCTGCATTTAAAGAGGAAGTTTTCAATGACCACTTTACAGAAAGCATTTTCTTTATTTAAGATTAGTTTCCATTAGTTTTGAGTTTTGCAAAGAAGTGCTAGCATCATTCTCTAGTGGTCATGGATCCAATGTGCGTCCAAAGGAGTTCTATATAGGTGAAAAATTTGGTTTCAGTATTTATAAAAAATATATAAAAAAGAAACAAACACCAACAAAATGAAAAGAAATAAACAGAAACCAGAGCCCACAATGGTGAGCCAACTCCAAGTTGCCTCCAACGAGGTGCACCATCCACAAGGGATGACTGTACAAGAAATTTTTGACATAGCGAGATAGGAAATGGTAAAAAAGTAATACAGAGTTGACTGCAGGGATGATGAGAAGGACTACTGAAATACAGGCAAGCTCAACCTCCCCAAAATCCCTAGGAGCAACTGGGTATATGAGAAGCATTTAAATGAGCAAAGAGCAAGAGCAAGTGGAGGGGAACTCTGCAGAAGAGTGGAAAATGCACATGTTCACACACTCTGCTGGAAAGGTGACTTCCATCATGGTCTGTTTCGTAAGACCACATAGAAATACCTCAAAGACTGAGGAGATGAAGTGCAGTGCATAAGAGAAATTCTGGCAATGCAAGTACAGGGGAAGATCAGTATTTGTCTCCTGCTGTAATATGCATTCTGAAATATGATAATTTTGATGTCATGGGAAACCTTTCACATTGTATTAAAGCTATTCAGTTATTTCAGCTGACTGTAATGTGCTGCTGGTGGTGAAATGTTTGAAATGCTTTAAAAACAAGTAGGTAGTACTCAGGCCTACAGCAATAAACTGACAATTTTCTGTCCTGCATGGAGCTGTGATGCCACAAAACCCTCCCTGCCCAGGACTGTTCATGCCACCCTTCACTCCTGGCACAGAGAAAATCTGTGGTTTGTTGACCTCTCCTGCCTGTTAGAGCAGAGAAAAACAGAGTTAAGATTGTTCCCTGAAATGCTCCATCTTTGAATGGGTAAATTTGTGACAATCATACCCGTACTATCTGCCTTTCTTGGTGGGAATATTCACATTTTCTGTCTGTGTAGTGAGATATATATTTGTATAGCTACAGCTGTAACTACAGCTATATGTGCAAGTAAAGGTAAATGAATATACAGAGTTACACGTGTACACATGGATAACTGGGAGAGAGGCAGGCAAGTGGCTGTGATTCTACAATTTTTCATCACCTGAATTATCAGGAAACCAACCCAGCAATGATGGGTTTGCTGGCTAAGTTCGGGTGGGGCTCGATGGATGAAGAGGGAAGGCTCTTGAGACAGCCAGGGTCGGAGCTGCCAAATGGGGAACAGCCTATAGCCTGGGCAGGGCATCAGGGTGTTCCCAAAGCCCAGGCCCACACTCAGGGGCCCGTGGGTGTGTCTGTGCCCATGGGTAAGTGCTGCAAGGGAAGCACAGAACACTGGTGACCTTCACAGCAGAACAGGCTGAGGTGGGAATAGGATGGGGCCAGGTGTGTTGCCCAAGGCTCTGTGTGTGCTGGCAGTGGTGTGGTGGCTGTGAAGGTGCTGTTCCCTGTTGGAGTTGGTTTGTACATGCTTGGCTGTGTCCGTGCCTTCTGTGCATCTGTGCGTCTGTATGAGACTGTGTTTGTGTGTGCACATGTGTTGGGAATTCAAGGCTGATACATTAAGAATGTGGGCTAGAGCTTTGGACCATTCTTGAGAGCCCTATTGACAATAAACTGGTGACCAGAGCATCAGGACATCCTCAGCATGCCTCTTTTTCCTGTGGGGCTTTTTCCACTGGTCTCAGCTTCCTTCCAATCTTCCAGATGGACCGAAGCTGAGGAACCCTGTGTGGGGTGACATTTGGGTAAGGGACAGCACGCAGGTTGGGGGAGACTGTCTCGAGGACATGTGCTGCACTCAAGTACTGAAGGACAGCAGCAAGCTCACATGGCTGCTGGGTCGTGCTTCCATCAATGCAAGATCTGACAGAGGATTCAAGCCTCCCCTTCAGGAGGCAATGGCATTAAGAGATGGGGAGTTTAGGTCACCAGTCCTTCTTCAGCCACTTCCCAGGCACAGTGGTGCATTGGGGAATGACCTTCTGGCTCTACATGATGAGCATGAGTTCGGGTACCCACAATCCAGACCTTGTCTTGCATTAGGTGAACACCAGTATTTGAAGCAACTTCCAGCCAAGGTCAGCTCCCATCTGATCTCTCCCTATCCCTCCTCTCACATCTCCAGCTCTTCCATGTCTCCACCTCCCCATGTTCCCCATAGGGCCTTGAGCTGGTGGTGGTATGAGTAGACCAAGCATGCTGTGGTACCCAAGAGATGACTGCACACTGGCTGTGCTGCACAGGATAGACCCAGCTGGATCAGGATCACTGCTGCTAATGCCCTTCTGAGGGGTCAGTGGCTGTGGCAGGTGCTCAGAAAGGCTAGGGAACATTTCCAAGGACACTAGATGTTTCCAGGTGTCTCCTTCTAGGTCCAGCTGGTGGTACTTTGCTGAGGGCCACAGGAATCCTTCTCCATCATCCCTTCCTTGAGCAGATTGGTCTCCCCCAGAATCCCACACTGTAGAGTACTTCTTTTGCTGTGGACATCTAAAGTTGGCAGTATCCCTGTGGAAGGTTCCACCTTGGGTGATCTCTCACTTTGTGGGGCTTCAGTCACTGCCCACCCTGGCTCACAGAATGGCAATAAGCTACTTGTCTTCAGTTCCAGCTGGCTGAAAAAGGACCAGCCATTGGCCAAAGCTGAGCCAACGAGCAATGCTGGTTGTGTCTCTGTGACAGGGTATTAAAGAAAGGAGAAATTCTACTGCACAACAGCAACTGGGAGAGAGGAGTGAGAACATGTAGATAGGAACAGCCCTGCAGACACCAAGGTCAGTGCAGAAGGAGGACAGGAGGTGCTCCAGGTGCCGGAGCAGAATTTCCCATGCAGCCCATGAAGAGGCCCCTGGTGGAGCAGGCTGTGCCCCTGCAGCCCATGGGTCCCACAGCAAAGCAGATCTCCATGCTGGAGCACGTGGAGCAGGTGGATGTGGCCTGAAGGAGGCTGTGGACCATGGCAAGCCCCTGCAGGAGCAGGCCCGGGGCTGGAGCTGCAGCTTGTGGAGAGGAGCCCATGCAGAGCAGGGGCACTGAGTGACCGTGAAGGAGCAGCAGATACAAAGCATCATGGAGTGACCACAGGCCCCATTCCCCTGCACTGCTCCAGGCAGGAAAGAAAGTACAAAAGAGTGGGGAGGAGGGAAGCTGTTTTTATTTTGTTTTTAGATCCTCACTGCTCCACTCTGTTAGTTAAAGCTCAATTAATTATCCTAATCTCCCTACACTGAGTCTGTTTTGCCCATGACTGCAATTGGTAAGTGTTCTGCCTGTCCTTAAAAAAAAAAACTGGAGTCCTTTTCCACTGTGTTTTCTCTGGCTGTTCCTTTGAGGAGGGGGCGAAAGCGCGGTGTGGTGGAGTTCAGCTGCCCATCAGTGTGAAACCACCACACTCCTCAGCCATGTTATTGGCACGAGCTTTGAGAGAAGAAGCATGACTTCAGGCAGTCAGTTGGGGAGACCCTGTTTTATTAAGCAGATACAAAGAGAGAGAACTGACAGAGCAGTTTCATTCCTCAGTGGACAGTAGATATATAAAAACCATTTTCCTAAGAAACTAATGAATGGGAATGTCAATGAAGATAAAAGTAACATTAATGATCATGAAACAAATACCCAGGAAGTCATTTGTGGAGAAAGAGGGGTAATTTATCACTTTTCAGAAACATTCCTGAAATCATTTTCCTAATGGCACCCTTGAGCTCCTGGTTCCTCATGCTGTAGATGAGGGGGTTCAGTGCTGGAGGCATCACTGAGTACAGAAATGACACCATCAGGTCCCGAGCTGGGAAGGAGGCTGAGAAGGGCTTCATGTAGGCAAAAAGTCCAGTGATGACAAACAGAGAGACCACAAACAGGTGAGGGAGGCACGTGGAGAAGGCTTTGTGCCGGCCCTGCTCAGAGGGCATCCTCAGTACAGCCCTGAAGACCTGCACGTAGGAAAAAAAAATGAAAAAAAAGCACATGGATGCTAAAAAAGCACCAATCATAAGTACCCAAACATTCCTGAGGTAGGAATTTGAGCAGGAGAGCTTGAGGATCTGGGGGATTTCACAGAAGAACTGGTCCACAGCATTGCTTCGGCCCAGTGGCAGTGAAAATGTATTGGCAGTGACCAGCAGAGCATAGAGAACCCCACTGCCCCAGGCAGCTGCTGCCATCTGGGCACAAGCTCTGCTGCCCAGGAGGCTCCCGTAGTGCAGGGGCTTGCAGATGGCAACATAGCGGTCATAGGCCATGATGGTGAGAAAGGAATAGTCTGCAGAGAGGAAGAATAGAAAGAGAAAGACCTGGGCAGCACACCCTGCATAGGAAATGGCCCTGGAGTCACAGAGTGAATTGGCCATGGCTTTGGGGACAGTGGTGGAGATGCAGCCCAGGTCGAGGAGGGCGAGGTTGAGGAGGAAGAAGTACATGGGGGTGTGGAGGCGGTGGTTGCAGGCTACAGCGGTGAGGATGAGGCCGTTGCCCAGGAGGGCAGCCAGGTAGATGCCCAGGAAGAGCACGAAGTGCAGGAGCTGCAGCTCCCGTGTGTCTGCAAATGGCAGGAGGAGGAACTCGGTGATGGAGCTGCTGTTGGACATTTGATGTCTCTTGACCTTGAGGCTCATCTAAAAGGAAGAAAAAACAACATTTCTGTAGACATGATATATAAAGGGACTTTTCATCATTGTTGCAGAAATTCACTCAACTGCAGAATAGGGCTTGGTGTATTGTGTATGTTTCGTGTATTTTTTTTGTACTTGTCCTACACATCTGAGAAGTCCTTAAAGGTAGAAATCCTTGGTGTACTGCCCACCAAGTAAAATCTTGGGGGTCCTGCAAGGCAAAGGGACTGTCCCTCAGGGCAGTGTGCAGACAGAAGTTGTATCAATCAGTCCTGGTCTCAGCTGCCCTGTGCAGGCACCTCGGGAGGTTGGTCACACTTAGGTGTTCCTCTGAATAGACCCTTAATGCTACTGACAGCAGAGGAATCCAGGTTCAAAGTGCGCATCTCCAAACCCCTCACCCATCTCATCATATCTGAGGAGGATCTCAGCACTCTGCTTTTCCCCAGCTACACACAGGGATCACAGCAGCTGCCCATATACAACCATTCAGCAGCATTTGTATGGCCTCAGGACTGACGTGTCTTCTCCATGGGGCTGTTAGATAACACAGAGCTGCTAGGGCAGAGTTGTGCCCTTCTGCATGGCAGCCTGCAGCCCAGCAGAAGCCCCACGTAGAGTCAAACGTCGTTAGATGTGATGTCCTGAACAGAGTCAGCTCATTCCCAGCCACACAAACACTTCCCAGAGGCCCAAAATTTTAGAAGAAACATCGATGCTTTTTTCATGGACATACCTGAGCGACAGGAACATCATCAGTGTTTGAGCTGCACCTGAATTCTCATCCCCAAAACTGCAGTGAGTACAAAACAGCTTATAAAATTTCAATGATATTACGGCTGGAGATCTATGCTCGATGAGAAAGGAGACCAGGGGATTGCTAAGGGGAAGGTGTCTGCACTGCAGGGATGGCAGGGAGGTGCCCAAATCCCCCCTCCCATGTTGCTGCTGGGAGAAGCTCCCTCCCACCCTCTGACCATGGCTGTGCTGCCTGCAGCTGTCCCTGCCTGCAGCTGGGTCTCTGTCCCCATACCTCCTGCCTGCAGCTCACAGCCCCCATCCCACCTGCTGGGTGCTCAGCTCTGCCCTGCAGACACCTCCTGGCAGCAGGGCTCTGCCCAGGGGCAGCTTGCTGGGGGATTGTCCTAGAGCCCAGGTCACACAGACCCTACTGACATTGCAAGGGTGGTGGTGGTTACAAGGAAATTGTCCTTGTAACCCTCACTCTGACAGATTGTGAGTCTCAGACTCTTCTTAGAAATAATAGCATCTATTTCTACACTCATTGAGCCAAAGCAGAGAAGACTGAAATCTCATGAAGCTCAGGAAAGAAAAGACTGAAGCCAAAATCCCCTTCCTTCTTCCAGTTCTTTTAAAGTCCCCTTGGATACACCCTGGTTGTGCTGTGGAGCTGTGAGCAGGCTGCCCCAGGCAGCAGCCTCCCACCAGCAGCAGGACCCTGCCCTGCCAGGGGGCTCCTTCCACCCGCAGCTTCTCCCCGCAGCGCCCTGGGCAGCTCCCCGGGCAGGCTGAGCGCTGAGCCTGGCAGGCGGCAGAGGCCCTGCCCGGGCACACAGCCCCTGGGGCACAGCAGGGACCCTGCTCTGCACCACAGCCCTGGACACCCCTGCCTGCACCCCCGGCTTCTCCTGCCTCCACGAACTGCGGCTGCATTGCCCTCCAGCCAGACACTTACCGGGTGCAGGGCTGCGAAGTCTTCTCCCCCAGCAAGCTCTGGGCATGCTGCCACTTCTGCCTGCCTTTAAGCACTGTGTCTCTGCAGGCAGGGCTCACAACTCCTGGAAGGCAGTAGGATCTCTCCTGGGGAACACACTTGGATGCAGATCACACAAAATCTAATTGGCCCTCTCTGAACACTGTATTGACTGATTCCTTAGGCAGCAATTGCCCTACTTCGGTGTGCAGATCTACAGGATGTGCCAAATTTCCTCTTTCTTGTTCAAATTATTCATCAATGAAGTGGATGATATGCACCCTCACAAACTTTGCTGATGACACAAAGCTGGGAGGAGTGGCTGATACCCCAGAGGACTGTGCTGCCATTCAGAGGGACCTTGGCAGGGTGGAGAGATCACAGAATCACAGAATTTCTAGGTTGGAAGAGACCTCAAGATCATCGAGTCCAACCTCTGACCTAACACTAACAAGTCCTCCACTAAACCATATCACTAAGCTCTACATCTAGACGTCTTTTAAAGACCTCGAGGGATGGTGACTCAACCACTTCCCTGGGCAGCCCATTCCAATGCCTAACAACCCTTTTGGTAAAGAAGTTCTTCCTAACATCCAACCAAAAACTCCCCTGGCACAATTTTCGAAGTTGAGGCTGGGGACTAACCAGCAGGAGAGCAACTCTGCAGAGAGAGACCTGGGAGTCCTGGTGGACAGTACGCTGAGCATGAGCCAGCAATGTGCCCTTGTGGCCAAGAAGGCCAACGGGATCCTGGACTGCATTTGGAAAAGTGTTGCCAGCAGGCTGAAGAGAGGTGATCCTCCCCCTCTCCTCAGCCTGTATTGGTGCTCGGAGTTATTCCTCCCTAGGAAGGAGACACCACCTTTTCTTTGTGATGTCAAATGCATGAGAAGCCTGACAGGGTCAGAAAAGTGGCCATTTATTTGCAGAAGAAGCAATAGGGATGGATTCTCCAGAAATGCAACTTGGTGCTTGACAGAGCAGCACACTGCCACAGTCATGGTGACAGCCTGGCAGCCTTGTGTCTGGGTATTCCTGTGAGATCAGCCAAATGGGATGAAGGATTTGTTCCCTGACCCTTCTGTTGTGAGAGGGGTTTTGCCTCTCAGCAAAGCATATCGCTGTTGCCTGGACTCCTTCTGTGAGTGGCATCTGCCATTGGGGCCCAGAGATGTGCAAAGTCTTGGTTCTCTTGCTTTCCAACATCCTCTGGCATTCAGTCAACGCAAAGCAACCCAAGGTCTTCACCACAGCTGGTCATCATGGAAAGGCACCTCTGGGACTCCTTGCAACTGGCTTCAGTAATTCTGCCTTTGCTTATGTCAATCGTGATTGCCTACATTATTACGGACTCTTCTAGAGGTGACTTTGGAGTATGGGAATTCTCTATACAAATACAAAAGAGCTTTGATATTTTAGCTTGTGCTCAATGACTTTGGTCCTAGAACATTGCAGGTTATTGAATCAAAGCCTGGAATATCTTAGAGCCAATCACACACTGGCCTATAGTGTGTTGGTTATGGAAAATACTCTGGTGGGGGACTTCAACTTCCCAAATGTCTGGAGGAAAGACAACACAGACAACACCCAAAAACTTGTGTTGGGCCACGTGTGATAAACTCAGATGGAAAGACTCAAGAACAGGTAACTCTGAATGGCTGTGGCACAGCCCAGAAGCTTGCCCCAGTCTGGGAATATGCCCCTGTCCAACTATGGAAATTATAAGGCATTAATATGAACAGACCCATCAGGTCAGTCAGCATAGTAAGGGGAAGTAATAGTTATTGTGCTGTAGGTGCAGAAGGCAATAAGCCTTGGATTGAGCCTCAGAAGACTCAAGGACATCTAATGCAGTTCATCCATGAGCTAAGACAAACACTGTGAGCAGAGTGAAGGACACTTCGAGCAGAGGAGATGGGCAACTGGCATGGCTGAGCAAGGACCTGCTGCTTAAACTAAGGGAAAAATAGGAAAATGTACAAGAAGTGGAAGGAGGGTTGTATTGCTTGGGAGGAATACGGGGTGTCAACTAGATGTGTAGAGACGGGACCAGGAAAGCCAAGCCACAGACGGAGCTGAACTTGGCAAGGGATGTGAAGAAGAACAAGAAGGGGTTCTACGGATACATAGGCAGGAGGAGACAGCCCAAGGAGAGTGTTCCCCCTCTGATAAACAAGGTGGGAGAACTGGCTTCCTCAGACATGGAAAAAGCTGAGGTACTCAATAAGTGCTTTGCCTCAGTCTTCACTCGTGGTCAAGTTTCCTGTGTCTGTCAGGACCCTGAAACTCGAGGAGAGGGTGAGAGGAGCAGATTTTGTCCCACTGTGACAGTGGAACAAGTCCAGGACTGCCTAATGAAACTGGATGTATACAAGTCCATGGGACCAGAGGGTATACATCCCAGGATGCTGAGAGAGATGGCTGATATGCTTGCTGAGCCGCTCTCCATCATATTCGAAAAATCATGGCTGTTGGGCGAAGCCCCCAGTGACTGGAAAAAGGGAAACATGACTCTCATTTTTAAGAAAGGGAAAACAGAAGAGTTGGGGAACTACAGGCTGGTGAGCCTCACCTCTGTGCCTGAGATGATCACGGAGCAGTCCCTCCTGGAACACATCTGAAGGCATGCATGAGATAAAGAGGTGATTTGAGACAGCCAGTATGGCTTCACCAAAGGCAGATCTTGCCTAACCAATCTGGTGGCCTTCTATGATGGAGTGATGACATCAGTGGACAAAGGAAGGGCTACGAATATCATCTACCTGGACTTGGGCAAAGCCTTTGATATGGTCCCTCACCACATTTGTCTCTCTAAATTGGAGAAGTATGGATTTGAAGGATGGCCTGTTAGGTGGATCAAGAATTGGTTGGCTGGTCGCAGCCAAAGTGTTGTGGTCAATGGTTCTATGTCTGGGTGGAGTCTGGTCACAATTGGTGTCCCTCAGGGGTCGGTCTTTGGACGGGTACTCTTCAACATCTTTATTAATGACATAGGTGATGGAATCCAGTGAATCCTCAGCAAGTTTGGAGATGACACCAGGCTGAGTGGTGCAGTCGATACAATAGAGGGAAGGGATGCCATCCAGAGGGACCTGGACAGGCTGGAGTACTGGGTCCATGAGAACCTAATGAGGTTCAACAAGGCCAAGTGCAAGACGTTGCACTTGGACTTGGGCAATCCCACGTATTTATATAGACTGGGCAAAGAAGAAATTGAGAGTAGCCTTGTGGAGCAGGACTTTGGGGTCCTGCTGGGCGAGAAGCTGCACATGAGCCAGCAGCATGAGCTTGTTGCCTGGAAGGCCAACTGTGTCCTGGGCTGCATTAAAAAGGAGTGGCCAGGAGGGATATGGCTGTGACTGTCCCCCTCTATTCTGTTCTTGTGAGACCCCACCTGGAATACTGTGTACAGGCCTGAGGCCCCCAGCACAAGAAGGATGTGGAGCTCTTGGAACGGATCCAGAGGAGGGCCACTCAGATGATCAGAGGGCTAAAGCATCTCCCCTTTGCAGAAAGGTTGAAGGAAGTGGTCTTGTTTAGCTTGGAG